CAGGAGTATGAAAGTATTGATGGCTGCTTTAAAATGAAGCAAGATAGTCCTACAGTGCAAATGAGCTTTAAAAAAAAAAAAAAAAAGAGAGAAGAAAATGAAGCAGGAGGATCTCACAAAGAGAACCTGTGAAATAAAGGCCTCTTACTTTCACCATTAATTTCCTGAACTAAATGAAGCAAATTACTGCAAGCACCAGTGCAAATGAGCTTTAAAAAAAAAAAAAAAGAGAGAGAGAAGAAAATGAAGCAGGAGGATCTCACAAAGAGAACCTGTGAAATAAGGGCCTCTTACTTTCACCATTAATTTCCTGAACTAAATGAAGCAAATTACTGCAAGCACCAGTTAACTTATGTATAAAGTTAATCATACAAAATACACGTTATGTTCTGGTAAATATTTTGGAAGACAGATAGAAGACAGTACTAGGGCTTTTCCCTCAAAGAGTTCAGCAGCTAACCTAAGGAGGTAAACTCTGTATCAGCAGAGTGAGATGCTCTTCCCTTTCCTCGCTGGTAAAATGTAAATCATCTAGTCCAACACCTTTACCATCAGTGCCTGAGACTCCGGAGGGGATATCAACCCCTCAAGGTCACATAGGTGGTGGCTGAGTGAGGCCCAAATCCAAATTTCCTGCCTCTGATGACTTTGGTTTCTATTTTTATGGTCGTATTATGTTATGCTATGTATTATAAGTGTACTGCACGGAAAAGGAAAAGCTAAGCTTACTTCCAACTCTTCACAAAATGACCCTGCATTGGTCAATAATTGTCGGATCTCAGGCAGGGTCGGCACATGGAAATATGAAATAATTTCTCTTTGGACTTGACAGTACACAAACATCACCCCCTTAGGGTCACCCTGACCTTCAAGATTATATCTTGCTATCACCAAGGATGATTTGACATCCCCTGATTAGTTACCAGTCAGGGAAGCAGCCTTGGAAGCGAGAGAAGATGCTATTTAAGGGGCAGTTCAGGAGCATAATGGAATTCAAACTATCTGGAAAAACCACATGGATAAGCCACTGGTGTATAAGTAGCCATCCTAAAATGTCTTTATATTTCATGACTTTATTTTTACCTCCCAAGTAGGGACATCTATTTATTTGTTTCTTTTAAAATTATATTTCTCTTTTTGAAGTATTTTTTGGCTTTTATAATAAAAGACGTCCAAGCAAAAGAGCAATTCATAAACAGTGAGAGAGCTGAGCTGATGAGAGACCCCTCCTTTTCCAGTGAGTCAGGAGGCCTGCCGTACCCGGGCTACCTATTAAATCGTGGCAATAAGCGGAGCGCTCTGCTCTAATTAAAAACTCGCTAGCTTCAGTGATGACTCTAGCTTGTTTCTCCTTGTTGTTTTTAAGCCTCACATGCCCTTTATAGTGTATATAAAAAAGGAAAGCAGCAACAGCAGGAGATCCACTAGAAACACGCCTCAAGGAGCTCAGGCTTCGGATTGAGCATTTGCGTTCCCGACGCCATGCTCCACTTCCCGCTGCTGGGGCTGCTCACCTCAGTGGTACTCCGTGTGTACCCTCAACGTGAATTGCTTGGCCCACCATATACGCGGCTGGAACTGAATAGATCTTTATTTACTTCGCTGAGGGACTTCAGCTCCCTCTCCGCCCGCAGGGAGACAGATGGAAACATCAGCCACCCGCCAGAAGGTGGCGTGCAGCAAGGCTGTGCTACAGTTTGCAGTTTCTGCTTGCTTTCCAGTTCCTAAAAATGAAACAAAGAACTGTCAAGTTTTCAATGTGGTTCTAGTGAAGATACCAAAGGTGTTCCATTGGTCAAAATTATGGGTGTACAGAAGAGGCTTCTGAGATAAACTGAAGGGTCAGAGTTCCAGTTACAGATAGAGGATGCAATATTATAACTCTGGTTTCCAGGTTTGTAGCAAGTCATATTCAGAACCAAAATAGGAGTGTCCTGTTTTCCTCAGAGCTCCTGCCAGCTCCAACTTCCATCCCTTAAATAAAATGTCTCTGCCCCAGAGGCCAGTAATAGGCTCTTCAAGGTCTATCATTAGGGCATCTTTTAAAGAAAGCTGGTAATAATTATTAATTCTCTTTTTTTCCTTTTCCGTGCAGTGCGAAAGATATGAAACATCGGTTAGGCTTCCTGCTGCAGAAGTCTGATTCCTGCGAACATAATTCTTCCCACAGCAAGAAGGACAAAGTGGTTATTTGCCAGAGGTAAGAGAAAAGACCTAGGCAAAGATCCACTGAGTATTAACTATCTGATGATAGAGACATTCTATAAGAAGAGAAGGAAGTGATGCCCCAAGTTAAGCCAAATCTGGATCAAGATGACTTCCATTTTCATGGGGGTCATAATTATATTAGAAATTTCCATACATTTAGTGAAAGAACTGCCCTAATCAACAATAGATCTTATCATAAAGATGGAAAATAAAATCTCTGCGTTATATTCAGGATCTTAAGTTTCTTGGACCAATTTTGTATCATGGCATTCAAATTGTTCTTTTTCTCTGTAACTTTTCTAGAGTGAGCCAAGAGGAAGTCAAGAAATGGGCTGAATCACTGGAAAACCTGATTACCCATGAATGTAAGTCTGACAGCCTCCTACCCTACCCTGCAGGATGAGGACAATGGCACTCTGGACAGGACAAGTTGTCTCATATTATGCTGGTCTAATTGAAACTGCAAAAAGGCCTGCGTTCCTTCTGACTTCCAGACTCAGGAAAACCTTTTGGTCTTATATCCCGTTTGTTTATGATTTTACCATGCCTAGAGCTTTGTGATATAGAATGGAGAGTTTGTACAGGAACCATGTGCAAAACCATTTCTCTCATTACAAGGAAAAAGGACAGAGAGAAAAAATTCTAAATATTGAGATCTTCTTGCAAAATCAAGCTCAGTTTCTCTTTCCCAAACCCACCTTGGCAATTGATAGTTTTATAGGCATTTCAGAAACAAACTACTTTCTCGAAAGAGCTTCAACCTCTGAGCAATAACCATTAGATATCACTGGGATCCACTAGATACCACAGATTAGGGTTACCTAACCCCAAGTGACCCCCCAAAAAGGAGGCGATTGCTTGAACCCCTGACTTTTTCCCCAAAGTATGTCAACTTTATCTGAAATACAATATCCAAGAGGCCAGCCAGTGTGATGACAACTGTGGTTCTTTCTCCTGTATCACAGGTGGGCTGGCAGCTTTCAAAGCTTTCCTGAAGTCTGAATACAGTGAGGAGAACATTGACTTCTGGATCAGCTGTGAAGAGTACAAGAAAATCAAATCACCATCTAAACTAAGTCCCAAGGCCAAAAAGATATATAATGAATTCATCTCAGTCCAGGCAACCAAAGAGGTAGGATTTTTTTATTAATATATAATAGTTGGACATATTTATGGGGTACATGTGATAATTTGATACATGCATACATTATAATGACCAAATCAGGGTAATTGGGATATTCATCACTTCAAACATTTATCATTTCTTTGTGTTGAGAACATTCCAAATCTTCCAATATTTTGAAATAGACCTTAAACTATTGGTAACTATATTCACCCTACTGTGCTATCAAACACTAGAATCTGTTTCTTCTAACCTTCTAACTATTCCTTCTACCCATTAACCAACCTTTCCAAAGAGATAGGTTTTTATGGCAGAGAACTCTCTGGATCTTAGTGAAGATTCCTAGAACAGTGAAGCAGACTATTATAATCTTGACAACCCTAAATAAATCAATTTTTTTAAAAAAAGCTCTTTCATTCAGTTGACTTACATAACCTCCCTCAATGAATTTTTCCGATTAAGCTCCCAAATTGACGAGAAAGAACAAAGATATTGCTCTACCCACCCTGAAGCAGAATGAACCTTTTAAACTATCTCATAGGTACCAAGGTGGAGCCAATTGTCCTTTTCTGGTCCCTTTTTTGTCACTTCTGGGATATTTGAAGGTGCACAGTCTGTTGTTGTTCCCTGCAAAGTGCGCGGCCCCCCATCCTCAACACGGCGATAGTCTAATGGAGCCTTGGCCTTTGCCCCTCAGGTGAACCTGGACTCCTGTACCAGGGAGGAGACAAGCAGGAACATGCTGGAGCCCACAATAACCTGCTTCGATGAAGCACAGAAGAAGATTTTCAACCTAATGGAGAAGGATTCATACCGCCGCTTCCTCAAGTCACGATTCTATCTTGACCTGGCCAACCCTTCCAGCTGTGGGTCAGAGAAGCAGAAAGGAGCCAAGAGTTCTGCAGACTGTGCTTCCCTGGTCCCACAGTGTGCATAATTCTCACTGGGAGGCAGGGGGCTAAAATGCCAAGACTCTATGCTCTGGGAAACCTGAGGCCAAATATTGATCTGTATTAAGCTCCAGTGCTTTATCCACATTGTAGCCTAATATTCATGCTGCCTGCCATGTGTGAGTCACTGCCATGTATAAACTAGATGTAGTTTTGGTGTTTGAGTGTTCATCAGGGTGGGACCCCATGCTAGTCCAATTTTCCCAAGTTTCTTTTAGGGTGCCATGTGAGCAAGTTTCTAAATTATGGCCTTGTGGGTCTGGATTTTCAAAGATTGTTGGCAATTCTCTCCTCCCAACAGTTTGACCTCAGGTTGGTTGATTAGTGCATTTCATGTGACATCCACATGCACATGGATTCTGTGAGCCAGCACTTTCTCCAGACTCCAGACGTTTAGAGGAGGTCGACCTATTATACGTACATTTGTGTGTGTATGTATATATTTATAGATACATATACACATACACACATACATTCTGTGTGTATATACATATCGATGTTTGTGTATACGTGTGTGTGAGTGTAAGATGCAAGAGTACATGGGAAAGACCCTAGGTGCTCATAACTAGAGTGCATGTGTTTATGTACATGTATGTTCTGATCTCTGGTCTTTCATACTGCATTTGAACAGGGCAAACTGAACTAACTGCCATGCAGGCTAAGAAAGAAATGCTAAGCTGTAGAAAGCTGAGTCTGTAAAACTCCCTGGGTCTTGCTGGAGAGGCATCCAAGGGACTTCATGCTTAATTTAACCACTGACAGCCTCCACCTCGAGTACTATTCTAAGGAGCAAATATCTTAAAGACACAGAGCTTTGCTGGGCTGGTTATCACTAATGGCACTTTTGAGTTCCTAAGCTGCTGCCCTTCCCTTCTTTGCCTGGGTGCTCAGGTCATGTTTGTTAGCAGCTGGGTTGGTATAGCGTTGGGAGATGGGATGCTTGAGCTGAATGAAAAAATGCAATTAAAGCCTTGCCAGCTATACCTACCATAAGTTGTTAGCTGAGCAAGGGAACAGAATTTAAAGGCTACTATTCTTATACTTTATCCTTTTTTCTTCTCCTGATCAAGGTGCTCTTCTCACTTTTTTTTTTCCCTGAGAACCTTAGCCATCAGATGAGGCTCCTTAGCTCATGGTGGTTGGTTGGTTGTTTTTTTTCCCCCGAAATGGCTCTAGGCTATATGCCTTTATTTATAAACCAGCAACAGGGGAAAGATTACATTTTATAAGCGGGAAACAAGTTTTCACAAACTTGAAAAGCCCCTGTGAGTTTTTCTTTCAAGGTAGAAGAATCTTGTTAATTTCATCCCAAACATCAGGACTAACCAAGAGTTAAGGCATTTTTTTTCTAGACTCTGAGACTAAATGAGAGGGAAAAGAAAGGTTGAAAAAAAAGAAAAAGGATACCTAGTGTTCGAACTACTGACTACTATTTGGAACTTTTCAAGGCACATGAAATACTTGAAAATTTCGCATTTATGTTATTTATGATGTTTTGTACAATGTTTTTATTATTATATTGTTTTATAAATGGAGGTGCAGGATATCACCTGAATTATTAATGAATGCCCGGGAAGTAATTTTCTTCTCATTCTTCTAAAACTACTGCCTTTGAAAATGCACGCACACACACACACACACACACACACACACACACATATACACACTACATCTGTTGCTCCAGTATAAATTACATGTGTGAGCACCCTTGTGGCTTTTAAGCCAATGCATTGGGCTGCAAAATGAAGACACCAGAGTGTGTGTATAAGTCTCATTGTATTAAAGACATAGGTTTGCTGATTGTACCTTTCTTGTCTCTCTGGCAGTCTTGCTCTTAATATCCCTGGAGTTCCTCAACGGTGCCCCCTTCTGTTGCACACAGTTCCACGATTTTGTCTCTAGTCGACTTCAATGTGAAACTTTATTGGTCTTGCCCTCTTATAATTGTCATCACTTTCATATTATACCTGTACTCACAGACTGCTGTCTCACAAATAGGTCTGGAAAGTCATTCTGAATGAGAAGTAAATTATTTTATGTAATACATTTTGAGTGTCTTTTTCAATGTATTTTCCTGTTATTTCATCACCATTTGATATGGTAAGCTTACCTGCACATGGTCCGTGGACAGAATACACCTTCCATATGCATGCCTGTTTCTATCATATGCTTTCTATATAGGCCTCAAAGCTGATGCTTCCAGTGAAACACACGCATCTTAATAATAAGGGTAAATAAACGCTTCATACAGAACTATCTGCTTGGAAACACATTAATGATCCACAGAGTTATGTTATAAGAAACATCAGTGTGTAGGGTGACTTTAGAAAATGACTCATACGGAGTCTTTTATTCTTCCCATATCAAGTAACTCTGGCAAAGAAAGCAGAAACTGAATACTGTATATTCTTCTGTTCCTGCCACTGCTCTGCCTGCCTCTAGTCACAAAACCAAGTCAGTCTTGGCTTCAGAGATTTTGCTAAACAGATTTAGTGGTTTGTTTGCAGGTTCTCCATAGGCTTTCAAGGGATCCAGGTCACCTTCCAGAGCAGGTCTTCTTCTACCTCCAGTTACTCGCCGGATTGAGAAAAGGTGGAACAGCGGGAATGGAGGGGGTTGGAAGGAGGTATAGATGTCTGGGGTGCCCAAAGTGTTCAAAACCCTTCCCTCTCTTTTGCTGATTCTCTTCCCTGGAAAACAAGTCGTAGAACATTCACAGCCACAGTCACTGGCACTGTGTCTATTATGTCACAAGACCGCCATTTCCTGATCTTTCTTTCCCATTGTAAAAGTCATGCTTACAAGGTACTAGGGACAGAGGATCTTAAACATTTTTGAACAACAGATTTTTAAAAGATCTGGTGGAAACTACTGACCATCTCCTGAGAAAACTACACAAAGGAATCTAAATTTCTCATAAATGTTTATAGGAAACTTTTACAAACACAAAAAACTCACAAACTCTCCAAACACACAAAACTATCATTCCTTTCTTATACTGTAGATGTATCAGACTATCAGAGAGAGTACGTAGTTGCCGCTCCCTGTATATAATGGCATCTTCAAAGGGTTACAGGGTAATTCAAACTCCCTGCTATTAGCAAGTGTGAACAGTGTTCTTTTCCCCAGTCTCTACCTCCTTTCCTTCTTCTTTATAGTTGGCTATTAAGTAAATAAAGAGTATGTGTTGACTCTTCTTCTGAAGATGATAAATATCAAGGGCTATCTTTTCAAAAACACTTCCTATTGCTTGCTATGTGCCAGGTCCTGGCCTAAGCACTTTATATAAATAACACACTTAATTTCACAATAATCCAAAGATATAGTCACCAATAATGAGCATTTATGCTGCAAATTTTTAGAGATGAGGAAAC